AGTAATCGTGATTAGTTTATGGGTCTGATTTTCAGATTTTACTCAGGCTTGGACGTAATTAACCAAGTTACTTTTTTTTGGTCAATTAACCAAATTACTTAAAAGCCAAATGCTCATCGAGTATTAAAAACAAAGTAATAGTCTCGTCAATCTGGTTAAAGTTTTCAAGTGGATAGGGTACGTGGTAGCAAATGTCTTTAAACTTTATTTCATATTTAGTTTACATGAACTCTAATATTAGTTTTTTTTTCGTCCTCCAACTTAACTCTGCGTTGCATGAGTGGTCATTCAGTCAAATCTATCTTCTTTTCCATCAAATTTAAGGATATTGTGGATTTTTCATACAGGAAAAAAATGTAATTTATTTAAAAAAGAGGAGCTCGGCTCTTAAGATTAAGGAGGAGTTTCTCCTCAAAATACTTCTTTGTCTACTTAGAAGTTAGTGCTTATGATATGAACCGTTTATATTATAAATTATTATGTAAAAATCATCTCTGCAGAAAATAATTAAAGCTAAAATTGTTTAGTCATATCCTTAAGGAGTTTCAATCATAAGCACAAAGTTTTATGAATTGGTCACAAGGTATTTTAAGGAGGAGTTTCTCCTCAATCCTTGAGGAGCCAAGAATCTTTCTAAAAAAAAAAAATATCATTTTCTTATTGTTTGGATGAAATTCTAATTTTATTCCTCAATTAGAATGAATATAATTTAAAGACAGAAGAAACTATTAGTAGACTTCAAAGACGAAAAATAAACTGGTACTATAGATCAGAGACCTTGCTACAATTTAGTCTTGTGGATATTATGATACTCATGTGTATTAGTTGGATTTGAGGCCGACCAAAATGGTATATTATATATTAATGGAAGGTTTAAATAATGGATTAAACAATAAAAAGGAAAGTGAAAGAATCAAATATATTCCAACCGCCAGAACTGAAAGTGGATGCTAGGATTTCGGTTTTGATTTACAAACCAGAAATGTCGTGGGAAGCTGGGAATCCCCACATTAAACGACGAAAACAGAAAATTGGAAACGCATAAAGTTGTCGAAACATGGTGACTGATGAGGTGTAAATGTAGAGTCCCACAAATGAAAATGGAACTGCGTGCAACACCTGGGTAGATGCCATTGGAGAGCAGAAATTTGGAGGTTTTATAGGACGAATGTTTTAGTGTACATCTTAGATCCAACAGCCAACAATTTAAAATAATTGCGACAGGCGAAGAAATCCAAAATTATTTAAACAACAAAGGCAAAACTTCCTCTTTCAACGAGCTAGTAGTGGTGAAGAGAAAATAATAATTTATTATTGCTAGCGGAAAGTTTCAAACAATGTGTCTCCATAGTCTATAGAGAGACAAATGACACATCGCAGCATAAGTTGTTGGCCTCTCTATGAATCCCAATGCAGCATTTGCATTAGCCAAACATAGTTAAGCGTCAAATTTGTCATTCATAAAAGCAATACTTCAGACTTCCATTTACAAATGATGAAAAATAATTTGATAAACCTAGAGATTATACTAGATTTTAACAATGTAGGTAATCAAATTAGTACAATCAAAATCTAATCCAACACATGAGCTTAGTCAAGAAACCATATCATCGAAGATAAAAAAGAATTCAAATACACCAAACTAGTCATATATTAGGTATTCGGCTCACTTGGTAACAAAAATGAAAACAGATAATATATCTTAAGAATCTCAAATTCAAAAGTGAACGTGTGTTGGGGGATTTTTGTGAAATCATTTGTCTGCAATTTTTTGGATCACTAATATCTCTGTAGGTCCCATGATTACCTTTCTCTCTGTTTGTTGTGGTCTCTTGTCTCTTGACATGTGTTCCTTGTTTGGATATCTGTCCCCCCTGGTTAATATTTTCTTGGCCAAATTGTTTTTATGGTCTATGTGGTGATACGCCATTTTTAATATCTCATGGTGTTGAAAAAATTGTTAACTAAACTCTCGTGGTAAAATTTGTTAGCAATTGAGGTCTAAACCAAACTTCTGTTAATCTTCTTGTTAAATAAACTCACGTGATAGTCACATAAGTTTGTTCACCAGAAGATTAAAGAACGTATGAGTTTGGACCTCAATTGCTAACAGGCTTCACCATGGGAGTTTAATTAATACATTTTTCACTACGAGGTTGACATTAAAAGTGACATGTCATCGCAAGGGCCATGAAAATTTTTTTTGGCCTATTTCTTTGAGTATATATATATATTATTCCTACCAGGGCTTATTTGTTCATCTTTTACACAAGTTGAAATAAATGTAACGCATCTTATTAAATAAGACAGAGTCTATACAATCAATTACAACAAATAGATAGACAATTTGTAACACTTTTATCAATCGTGACCATGTGTTTTATACAGTTTGGTGACTGAAAAATAACTTATTTGATACATTTTTCCTTCAAAACATTGAGTAGCCTAGTATTATTCTAATGACACGTTTACATAAAGGTAATCAGAATCAAAATAGGAATTGAATTCCGATTATGAGATAATCCAGTATTTACCAAATATTGGGGAACAAAAAATTTGGTGGGACCCACTCGAATTTTGGAATCCAACTTCAGAATTTGAATTCCCTACATTTAAGCGGGAATTGAATTCCGGGTTGTTGGGGGAATCGGAATAGATTTTTATCCTCACTTATTTCTAAAATTTCAAAATTGTCCTTCACATTAACCCAACACCACAAACCGTTTCTTTGTTTAATATAAAATTTTCCAACAATGAATTCAATTCTGACTCATTATTATTCCAACTCTTTATCAATTCAATTCCTCCTCAACTTAGTTTCTCCCATTTTAATTACGGATTAATAAACAAGCCATAAAAAGAATCTTCCAATCGGTAAAGAGTAAAGAAGAAAAAGGAATAATATGAATTGAAGAGAAAAGTTGCTTATGAATGTCAAGTGTCCCTTGGAAAAGAGTCAAAACTTACCGATTGGACATCCATTGTCTACACTCATTGTTTCTCTATAATTGACCATGAAAAGCAAAAAATGGCTGTAACTAAAGAGTGCATAGGGGGAGCATATTGATTCTACTTGATTTGGTCACGTGAGTTACGTTTATCACTCCTAGAAACTTAATTATTTTACACACATTAGCCTTCGTGTACGTGCTCACGTGCGTGCAAAAGATATTTTTTGAATTACAGCGTGCTACGTGCGACTTACACATTTTAAATGTATTTATATGCATAAATTGACAAAAAGAAAGTCAAATATTTGAAGTAAATGAATAATCTTAGATCATGCTAGAAGAAACACTTCATAAATCAATCAAAGCAGCTAAATTCACATAATAAAATCGGTCTGTATTGAATTTACATTAATAAAAGAGAAAATAATATTTAATAAACAACTGATTGAATCACATTATTGCAAGCCCATTGTGAGACTAAGGCCACCCCCTCCCCCTTAGTGTAGATATTATCTTTTGTTAAAAAAAAGAATCATTTGACAACTAATTTAATCACATTATTATGCGCGTGCGAAAGACATTTTTTATAAACGACATTACACGCCTCTTAAGATGACACGCCCCGACCCTGATATTCCCCGAATACCAGGATAGACACGTGCTGGCCGACACCCGAGGGTGACGAAAGCTATTAATTTATACAAAAGCTGAAATTAAGAAATAAATAAGGGTTATGAAATTTAAATAGGCCAGCACGTGTCTATCATGGTATTCGGGGAATATCAGGGTCGGGGCGTGTCATAAGATATTTTGAACATGTTTAAAAATAGAGAAAATAATTACTAGCCTGTTGTGAGGTACTAATTATTAAAAAAAATGTACAAAAAAATTAATTATTAAAAAATACTGTTAAAATGACAAAATATCTCTGCCACATTTGATGCATTATTTTGGACTGCTTTTGAAGTTTTTTGTTTAAGGGGCATTTCTGTCCACTTCTTTTTATGAAACTTGTGAGCCTAAAAAACACTGTTCATTGGGCTATTGGCTTTATATATAAGATAACTGAATATGATATTGGCACATCACTTTGTTTGGCGGACCAAAAATCCTCTCTCCGCTCGACCTTGCCAAAAAGAGGGAAACGCAATGTCGACGAAATTAAATTGTCCTTGACATATAGTCTAATAAAATTCTCATATGTGCACATATTTATGTTATTTACTAAATATGCGTGCTAACATGTTATTTGGTTTACAAATTTGACAATTTTAGTTTTGTTAATGAAGTAATAGCGTTTTCACTAGCCTAAATGGTGGTGTCGATATGGTCGAATCAGACTAGTACATTTGTCTCTTAAAAAAATTGTTACAATTAAACAACTAAAAACATGGAGAGGAGAATATGAACCCATGTTGAATTTCAAAAGGTAGCACTGCCACAATGTAGGAGGACTTTAGGCCATCTCTAACCAAAGGCTGGCCAGATGACTCGTTTTAGCCATCTGGCCCTCCAATAAATTAATATTTTAATGAACAATAAAGGGCCATATTTCTTACCATCTCCAACTGAGGGCCAAAGGGCACGTTTTAGCCCTGTCACAAAAAACCATCTCCAACCGAGGGCCAAACATAATTTATTATTTAAAACTACAAAAATTCAAATCCAACGGCTAAGTGACATTAGCTAGCTGTTGGATTTGAATTTTTTTGGACTATAAATAGGGTGGATATTAGGCTATAATTCATACAACTTTGAATTCAATCTATTTCAATTCAATCTCTCTTTCAATTCAAGTTTGCAATGAATTCCAACTTTGGATCCTCTTCGAATTCTAACTGAGGGTCCTCATCCAATTCCAAATTGGAAGAAAAATAGGCGCAGATGAGACAAGAAGATGAGGAGTCTGATGAAGAAGATGAAGCATGGTGTAACGCACAAAACAGAGCAGCAACCAGGGCTGCGACCATGGTGTGTCAGCCAACTGTGTAACAACCTCAATGGGGTAGCTCTGTTGCTGGTCGCTCTTACAAACAACGAAACAGAACGATGACTCGTGCTAATATGATGAACAACTACTTTAACCCCAACTCTATGTACACAGAAGAGGATTTCAAACGTCGCTTCTGGATGATGCATCATGTCTTCGAGTGTGTACTTCGTGATGTCCAGCAGGTCAATCCATACTTTCGACAGAAGCGGGACAAAACAGGCCTCCCTAGTTTCTCACCTCATCAGAAGGTTACAGTTGTAATCCGAATGATGGCCTATGGCTCCCCAGCTAATTCGATGGATGAAACCCATGATATGTTTGAGTCTACATGCCTTGATACTTTTGAACAATTATGTGTCATAATTGTTCAGGTTTACAAAGATGAGTACCTCTGTGAGCCAAATCAATAAAATCTGGATCGGCTCATTCACAAAGCTGAAGACCGTGGATTTTTGGGCATGATAGGGTCATTAGACTACTTGCATTGGGATTGGAAGAATTGTCCCACTAGATGGAAATGAGGCTTATGTAGAAGGTCGAGAAAGGCAACTATTATGTTAGAAGCGGTTGCCTCGTATGACACATGGATCTGGCATGCTTTCTTTAGAGTCATTGGATCCCAAAATGACATGACAGTTCTTGGGCGTTCACCCCTCTTCAATAGCTTGAAAGAAGGTAAATCACCTCAACTTGACTACATGAACAACAGTCGGTACAATATGGGGTATTACTTGGCAAATGACATCTACCCAAAGTGGGCGACACTTGTCCAAGCAATTCCAAACCCTAGGAATAACGTCGAAAAGTTTTTTACCTTACACCAAGAGGCATACCGGAAAGATGTTGAGAGAACTTTTGGTATTCTACAAGCACGGTGGAAGATCATCAGCGAATTGGCAAGATGGTGGAGTTGAGAAAATTTGGACTCCATCATGATGTCTTGCATCATATTACACAATATGATTGTTGAGGATGAGCGAGATGGGTATATTGATGGAGAGTCCGTTGACGATCAAGATGATCCAAATAGGTCAAGAAAGGCTTGTGCAAAAATATATGATAGGCCTAATTTACCTTTCAATTAAAGAACTGGTAGTATATCTATAAATGAGTACATGAGGTGCTATAGAATGATACATTCCCATGCCACAAACAAGTACCTACGACAAAATCTTGTTGCACATCTTTGGGCCAAAAATAACATGGAGTAGGCGTTGAAGTTTTATGTTGTTAAATGTTTTTAAAAATGTTTTTTAAGTTTCATGTTGTTAAATGTTTTTTTATGTTGTTTAATGTTATTTAATGTTGTTTGATATTGTTTAATGTTGTTTCATGTTACTTAATGTTATGTAATGTTTAATGGTTTAGAAGTTATAAAGGAAAAAAAAAGAATTTTTACAATTTTCAAAACAAATTTTGTATTTAAAAAAAAAAACTGTAAATAAATAAAAATAACAGCTAGCTGACGTCAGCAGCTAGCCGTTGCAAATTCAAATTTCTGCCCCGCTCGAGGCCGGCTGTCTGGCTGGTTTGGGCCAGCGAGTTGACCCTTTGGCCCTTTTTTTGTCTAGTAGGCCCATGAGCCCTCTACCCTGGCCATCAATTGGAGATCATTTTCGGGCCATTTTCGACCATCTGACCCTCTGAACCCTTTGGTTGGAGATGGCCTTAGTGGTTGGGGAAGACTTTGAAAAAGAAAATAACACTTGCGTAATAAAATTCGATATGTTTAGTAAAATGTAACCAGCCATTCATGTGCTTTTTTGTTTTTTTTATTTGGTGTTGGATTGGACGGCAGAAGGAGAAAGTAAGGCCATCTCCAACCGAAATAGGGTGACACACCCCGACCCAGAATGTCCACTAGGACTCCGAATCTAGTTGTGTTGGTCGACACCTGGAAGGTGATGAAGCTATAAAGTGTAGTGATGTGAAAAATGTGAATATAATTAAACCTAAAAGTGCCTAATCAAAAGAGTGCGCTGGTGTGCGGGATTGAACCTATTTCACACGTGATCAGAGCATAAGAATAGTACAGTAAATAGAGTAAGAGTTATACCATTGAAGATAACCACTTATACCGAGATTTGGCATGAGTCCTCGTCGATAAGTAAGCTCAGCTACCAAAACCTGGAGAGGCGAAAAATAGAAGGGTGAATGGGCACAAAAACATATGTTTTCAAAATCCATTTATTTTCGGAACATACTAAGCCCTCACTGTAAAACATGTATAGCTTCCAGAAAATCATACTACGTATAAGTATGAAATCAAATTCATGCCAACAGTAAAATACAGAAGTATGCCACAGCACAATAAGTCAATAGCAATATAAATGTAGGCATGTGCTCCACAATCTAAGCGAGTATGTCAGTCGGAGTCACCTAATGTGACATGTACGACTGCACCTATTGCTCATCAATCTATGCTAACACATGAGTCGGAGTCACCTAATGTGACCTGTACGATCTGTACAATAGGGCTACTTGGATCCAAGGCGAGCGTGCAGTGCGGAGGTGAACATCACATGAAGGACTGGCCCCAACCTGGGGCGGGAACACTAACACTGGGTGCATCAATGATGAGCACTACATGAATATACGCATGCCATAATGATTCTATGATTGTAACAATATAATAACTTACTTGAAATTATCTGCGTATCACGTAGGATTGTTTTAGCATCTCATAATAATGAACATAAATGAGCAAGTAAAATTCATATGAATATGCCATGACAATATGTAAATCTCAACCACATAACAACATTTTCGAAATTAAATAAATCATGGCATAAAATGCTTAAATCGATTTAAAGGCATTTGTGGAAACTATAAGGTGTGTGTATATATATATACACACACACAAAAACAAAGTGCCCATTCACAGATATGCAGTAGGAACAAAGCCTCTGAGCCTTATTTGACCTCATACGTCCTTGGAATACGTTTCCCCTATACGTGAAATTACTAATTCAATTAGTTTAATAACACATATACGGAAACTTAAATAAAACCCTCATAGTTTGCTCAAACATAGGTTTAAATATATGAAATCGATCTACTCAATGTCATGGACCTACATAAATTGACAGAAAGCCAATCGGAGGCCGGACGCGCCGCCTAAGGCACAACCCTACGCGCTACCACGTGCGGGTAGAGACTGACGGAGGCCCTAACGGCCGTTAAAAATATTCCGTTAAAGTGCCGCGATATTTCGTTAAATGGTAACGGTGTTACCTGACGCCATTAGGATATTCCTTCAGAGTTGACGGAATATTCAGTCGTCTTCTCCGATGGTCCTTTCCGGTCGTTACTGTCTGAACTAGCCGAATATCTGTAAATCTTCGCCGGTTTCTGGGTAAAATTTCAAAGCTTCATAACTTGCTCATTTCTCAACCATTTTTCACAAAATTTAAATGGAAATAAAGCTTATGATGAGTAGAACACGATTGTACCTTTTGGAAGTCCAAAAAGTGGACGAAGGTGGCCTGAAAATGGCTCAAAAGGTTCGGGTTAAACTCTGTCTTCTCCAAACCTTGTGTTTCGAGGTAGTCTTTTCTTCAACCCTTCACTAAAGACCTCAGGGAGTTGAGTGGAGGCCCTTTAGACTTCCTAAAAACTTGTAACTTGCTCGTAACTCTTCGAGGAAAATTTGAGCCAAGTCGAACCTTCTGAGTTGGCAAGTCAAAACTCGTCCAAATCATGATCTAGGGGTACGGCTATGTTTGTGGAGGTGAGACGAGTTCGAAGGTGTGGTTTTCAAGCCACGTTTGTGTGTTTTGGTGCATGTTTGAGAGAGTTGTAGAGTGAGAATGTGAAAGAGGGTCTTCGGGGAGAGAGAGAGGTTTACTCAATTTCTGATTGGTGGAACAAAAATGGAACTTGTTTTCTGATTGGGCGTGAGTGAGAGAGGGAAAAAATTGATTGGTGAAGAAGAAAATTAGGGAAAAATGAATGGTGTGAAGGATTGGTGGAAAAAATCAAATTGAATAATTTGATTGGTTGTTGAAGATAGAGGGACTGGATCACCAATTAGGGAAGGGATGGATTTTGTACAATTTTTAATGTACAATATCTACATCTTTGATAGTGTTTCCGACATTGTAAATTTGTGCGTGCGTGTACAAAATTACCCGTGATTAATGTACTTTAACGGTGCGTAACTTTTTTGTTACAAATCCGATTCGAGTCTAACATGCTCTCACGCATTCGTAACGACGAGTACTTTTTAAGTACAAAACTAGGAAAAAGAAACAATAGTCGAAAAACTACGTCCACGTCAGTTTCCACTTTTGTCTAAAGAAGGGTAAAATCGTCAAATTACACCAACGGAAAAGAAATTACAGTGAGAACTAAGGACGGCTCGTCACAGAGGGCCAGATGGCTCATTTTAGTAATTCGTCCCTCCAATAAATTAATATTTTAATGACCAATGCAGGGCCATATTTCTTACTATCTCCAACCGAAGGGCCAGAGGGTCATAGGCCAAACATAGCCCTGTGAAAAAAAAAACCATCTCCAACCGAGAGCTAAAGGATCATAGGGTCATACATAATTTATTATTTTAATTGAATTACTATGGTTACTTAAATTAAATTACCTCAATAATTTTCATGTTGTTAAATATTTTTAAAAATGTTGTTTAAGTTTCATGTTGTTAAATTTTTTTTTATGTTGTTTCATGTTACTTAATGTTATTTAATGCTGTTTAATGACTTAGGAAGTTATAGAAAAAAAAAATTTGTTAAAAAAATAAAATAAAATATGACGTCAGCATGTGGCCCGGCTCGGGGTTGGCTAGTTGGCCATTTGGCCCTTTTTTGTCAAGTGGGGTTCAAGAGCCATTTGGTCTAGCCCTCAGTTGTAGACGGTTTTCGAGCTATTTTCGACCATCTGGCCCTCTGAACCCTTCAGTTAGAGATAACCTAAGAACCCTAGTACATGAGAAAATCTAGACGAGTGATACTATGTATAGATATGATTATTTTATCTAATTCATGCAAAATGTTATAATACATATAAGGTTACATAAAATCAGTAAGAAATTTAATTCGTGCAAATTATTATAATACATATAGGGTTACATAAAATCAGTAAGAATCTTATACTAATTATAATAAGAAATTATATTTTGATAATACATACAATAATTACGAAGACGATTCCAAATTAATTAAAGACTATTCTAACACTTCTCGTTCGTCACGTGCCTCCGGCGTGTGTGACGTGTGTTCCATCCCATACATATATACTTTCATCATTAATATTTCTAAAACTCTCTCGACCAGTATCTCTCTGATTCTGTAAATCTCTTCCCATAGTTAAGTTGCAGGATTAGCTCCAACCAGTATTAAAGTATCATATCTTTGTAGTTTGGAGGGAAAAATATTTCTGGGTTTGGTTTGAAATTAAG